ATTAATCTGCGTCTCTTTGCTTTTAATCATTTTTATCATTTCTATCATGATGTCTGGTGAAGCTTTAACAAAGTGGAACATGTTAGATTAAGATCTGTTTCCTACTTGTTCGTTTTCCTATCATTTTATCGGATTTCTATCCATACTCCCTCTGTCTCTCTGTTTCTCTCTATATATATACACACTCACTCTCTCTATATATATATATGTATATGCTATCTCTCTCTCTATATATATGTGTGTATATGCACACTCTCTCTCTCTCTCTCTATATATATATATGCATATACGATCTCTCTCTATATATATATATGTATGTATATACACTATATATAAATATATATATATACCCTCTGTCTCTGTTTAAATATATATTTTAGATCGCTTATCCTTTGAATTTAGCTCAACTTTCTCTCTCTAAATACACACACACACACACACACACACACACACACACATATATATATATATATATATATATATATATATATATATATATATATATATATTAAGTAAGCATGTCCACTGTTTTTCGTAAATGAAAAAGGACTCAAAATGCTTATGTTATTTTTAGATAAGTATTTTTTAATTATTTTTTTTTTTTTTAATAAAATGAAAGGTTTTCATCGCGGCGACGTTTAAAATAACATAGTTTTTTTTTGCGTTTTTTACCGTTGAAAAGTTCCATTTGAAAATTCTTGTAAAAATAAAAAATTGCAATCTTAATGAAATTATCAGAACATTATACAAATGAATGAAAACGGATATAAAAATTATTTTTTTAAAATAGTACTTCCTTAATTTGCTAAATTCAAACCTTTTGGTTCCTGAATTTTTTTTTGTTTGAAGATTTTTCTTTCACAAATTTGAGCTATTTAACTGAAAATCTGCTCTGAATTGAAAAATAATGAATCCTTTGAATTTAGCTTTTAACTTTCGTCTTTTTTCTGATGAATAATTAAACAAGAATTTTTCGTTTTTTAAGAAATTTTAATTATAATAATTTATAAAAAATCAGGTGAGGGTTCCTCGTCGAACTTTTAAATCGCTACTTTTTTAAAAACATGTTGTATTTTTTTACTTATATATATTCCTTATTTCCATGTATGATATACAGAAATTGCCATTATTATAACAGGGTCACGTGACACACACAAAACACACGTTTATTAACAGACACATTTTCCGATCACTGTAAAAAAGTGTAAACTTTAAATTTTAAATTATTTTTCTTTTTTCATTAATATAAATAATTTTATTTTATATCCATTATGTGTATATCAAATAGAATAATTTTTAAAACTATTATGTCATTTATGGTCATCAGTAGTAGCTGTCATCGGCTCGTCAATCAATCATTATCAGTAAGATCGAACAATCAGGACCGCTCGTTAATAATTGGTTGTATATTATTTTTTTATGCTACATAAAAGGCGACTTTGAAATCAGTTTAATTTTTATTTTACTAAAATAACGTGTCAGAATTTTTTAAATATTTTAAAATCGATAAATTTGTGTTTGTTTACAAATTTCTTAAAATTAAGAAAATGTGTTTTTAAGAAAATTTAAAAATTTTTTTCAATCGACAGAATTGTTTATTTAGAAATCGTAAATTTAATTATTAAATATACAGAAATCAATGTTTTTTCGTTGTAAAAAATTCATGATATAGAAAATTCAACATCCAAAGGCGACAATCAGGTTTATAATCAGTGCCATGTGTTTTGCATTTTTTCTCGACTATTTACATATACAGATCAGTGATGCATTGTGGGTAATCTATTGTACTGTTCTAACGGATATATTCATGGCTGGTAACGGTTATGTTTCAAATTATTCTAGTGTCTATTGGGTGGAAATAATTGAGGATTCAAATGCATTTGGTGTTTTGTAACTTTTTATTGTTGAACATTAATCTTCTTCGTATATTTCTCAACCAGAAAATTCTGGAGGATAATTTGGGATTCCGTTTGAGTAACTAACCCTAACCTAGAAGTCAGTAATTGTTCCCTCTGTGGATCAGCTCTATCGCTATTTCTATGGAAAGAGTTTTCTCCCTTAGGTTCACCTCTCTTAAACTTCACTGTTAAAGCTAGCCATGTCACGTACATTGTAGCGAGACCTTATTATTCCTTTCGTATTCCCTTGGGGTGATTTAAGTTTTACTCAAGGGACTTTTTCCCACGATCCAATGACTTATAATATCGACTCCCATTTTTAACCTGTTCAAATCTAGAGTTAATCGTTATTTTCCACACATCTCAGCAAAAGCTATGATTCTTAGTCTGTAACCGTCTACCTCGTGGGGGCCTCGGGCATTGTACAGGTAATTATCATTTAAAATAAAAATGGACTGGGCTTTAGTACGCAACGGAATTTATATATTAATTATTATGGTAAAATCTGCAGCTGATCTAAAAATTACATCTTATATTCTGTTAACTGGGGCAAAGAATAGTTTGCTAATTTTAATGCCTCCAAAACAAAACGTCTCTCTAGTACTCATTTTAAAAGATACTTTTCTGCTTTTTGTCAGTAGGGCTGATGGTGACCTCCAAGAGGGTGACTCGTTCTACTTTCTCGGTCTAATGTTCTCCGCTGAGATGAAGTTGAAATATTATATTGAACCAATAGCTAGATATGGAATTTTAGTTCCCTGTGTCGTGCCAGACAATTTCTTTCTCTAGAATCTATCTTACATATCTATGAGTTTACCATTCGTCCATACTTTGGGTATTGCTGCCAGATATAGCCTGGATAACTTGATAAATATATTTAGAGATTCTTGACAAAACCCAAAGAAGAATCTGCAATATATTTTAGTTTGTTCATATGATTATTTCCTTTTTCTTTCTTTCTTTCAAATGTTCTCACTATGAATTTTCTTCCAAGTGTAATCTACATTTTTCTTATATTATTACAAGTGTACCTTATATTTCTTTGCTTTTTTTTCAAAAGTACTTTTTTTTCGTTATGTTAAAGTGGAACACCCCTATTATAAAGTTAATAGACTCTCCCACCTATAATAATTAGGAGTAGGAAGAGTAACGAGTCAGTCGGTCAATCAGTCGACTGGCTGCTCGGTTGAACTCTCTGCCTTCGGGAGGGGAGAAAACCGAAAGAGGCTACGCCGAAGGGCGGATTATCTTTCGGGGAGGTAAACCGACCCTGAACCCGTTTATACGGGTTCAATAGGGATATTTTTGGCCGAGCCCACATGCTCGGAGATCCCACGTTAAAAAGGCCTTGTGCCACATGGCGCCCTCGTGGTGGGGTGACTGAATATCGTCGGTCAGTCAGTCGACTGTCTGATCGATTGAACTCTCTGCCTTCGGGCGGGGAGGAACCCGAAGGAGGCTACGCCGATGGGCGGATTCTCTTTCGGGGGGTAAACCGACCCTGAACCCATTTATACGGGTTTAGTGGGCATGTTTTTGGCCAAGCCCACGGGCTCGGAGATCCCACGTTAAACCGGCCTTGTGCCACATGACGCTCTCGTGTGTGTGTGTGTGTGGGGGGGGGGTGACTGAATATCTTCAGTCAATGTCGGACGAAAGTTAGTCGAATACTAAAGTATCAGCGAACACAACTAGATTACTCTGCGTCATACCTATTATATCAAGTTCCTAACGTTTTGTACGTCGAACCTGTTTTAGGACCGATTTATTAGGTTGGTGCAAAAATAATGACGTAATAATATCGCTTTTTGACGTACTTTTCTACGTTAAAAAACGACATTCTTACGTCATTATTTTTGCACCAACCTAATATTACAAATACAAGCCTCCACTGTGAAATCACTCCACAACACATTCACATATACTTTTCTTTCTTTTAAATTTTCTCTTATGTCTACTTTGTTCTTTGTTTCTTTCGAATTTGCACTTTTGTAAAAAAAATTTTTTTTCAAAACTACGTTTTTTTTTCTTTTCTCTTTCATACTCCTCTTCTTTCTTTCCTAATTTTCTTTCTTTTTTTCTTTTTATCTATCTGTCTGTCTGTCTTTTTTTCTTTCTTTCTTTCTTTCTTTCTGTCTTTCTTTCTTTCTTTCTTTCTTTCTTTCAACCTTCTTCTTATTCCTTTGTTTCATTCTAAGTTGACATCTCGGGAAAATCACTTTCCGAACGTCCTGATCTAGCTTTCCTGTGCTTTTTCTATAAATATTTTCCCGTAAATTGTTCTGATGAATTTCTCCTCTATGGTATCTAGACATTATGAATTTAAGCTCAGTGATAGATTGACAATAAATCTCAAAGATTTACAGTCGACTTGGCTAGATCTAAGCGCAAGCTCTATAATAACAGTTTATTTTCTCGCACATCTCGCTTGTGGAACTCTCTTCCGGCTTCTTGACTTCCAACCAACTTTGAACTACAAAATTTTAAATGCAAATTCTAACGTTACCTAGCATAATGCCTCTTTTTTTATTCTCTCCACTTAATAAATCTTTTAACTTTGTTATTCTTACACACTCGGTAACCCTTATGTCATATTTGCCTCACTGCGTTATTTGGGGTGAAATGACACAAAAATAAATATATACGATAATATATGTTTAACTGGCATGCTTGGGCGTGTCTATTTACTCTAACATGATAATGTCACATAAAAAGCTCATGTGAGGCGAACATTTTTTTTCTCCAAAAGTAAACAAAGAAAATATAAAAAGAAATTCCAAAAGATTCTAATTGCGACCAGTGGTTCCAAATGACAAGAAGATGTTTCGATGAGGTCTGAGATTGTCTAGATTTGAAATTTAGAACAAAGCTGATGTCAGAAATGGATACTCCTGGGAGTATGAAAACATAGAAGAAAGAGGAATTTCTGTGAAAGGTGGGGTTCATAACAGAAGCAACCGACATTTAAGAAATTTCAATGCTCTCTGAACCTCAAGAGGACGTCAAGGTTGAGTGACATTAAAAGAGATGTGTGCTAAACATGTCTGCTGATATGGGAACAGACATATACGTATCGGTTGCTAACAGAAAACATATAAATACAAGAAACAAATAAAAAAGCTAGAAAATAAGAAAAGCAGACAGAAGAGAGTATTTCTAAGAAAAAAAAAAGATAGAAAGAAAGAAGAAAAGAAATGATGGATGAAGAGAACGAAAGAGAGAATGAATAAAGAAAACATTTGAAAAATAAAGTACAAAGAGTGTATTTGAAAGAAAGAAAGAAAGAAAGAAAGAAAGAGAATGCGGTTGAAATAAAGAAAGGACGAAGAGGGCATTTGAAAGAAAGAAAAAAAATGAACATTGAATGTGAAAAAAGTACAGTAAACTTCAAAGAATGAAAGTTCCCATCTAAAGGTGGTACGAAGAAAGTACACATTAAGTTATTATAGGAGTAAATAAATAAAGAAAGAAAGGAAGAAGAAGAAGAAGAAGAAGAAGAAGAAAAAAAAAGAGGAAGGTTGAAAGTAAGGAATAAGAAAGAACAGTGCACTTGAAAGAAAGAAAGAAAGAAAGAAAATTGGGGAAGCAAGAGTGGGAGTATGAAAGAAAAAAGTCTAGTTTTGAAAAAAATATTTTTATACAAGTGCAAATTCGAAAGAATCAAAGTAGATATAAAAAAGATAAAATGTAAAAGAAAGAAACGTACTCTAAAAAAAGCAAAGAAAAGTAGGGTATATATATATATATATATATATATATATATATATATATATATATATATATATATATATATGTGTGTGTGTGTGTGTGTATCCTTTCATGGGAATTACTGTCGTCTAGCGTTTTTCCTCCGTCTGGGTAATCTAGACATTGAGCACTTTACTTGCCTAAGTAGGTGTTGACCTTTGAGTCGTGTTATTGTCGCCCTTATGCTAGTTTTTCTCTAGATTGAGGGGATATAGGTCTTTAGGAAAGTTATTCGTTGGTTCCACTAGCAGTTTCCGATATATATATATATATATATATATATATATATATATATATATATATATATATATAAAAGTAACAGGACTGTTGTCAAAAAAGAATTTATTTCAACTCCAAACAACGAACTACATAATTTCTCCTTGAAATGCACTTTTTTATCCTTCCCTTCCATGCGTCTCTGCACTGCTGGAAGCATTCTTCTTGGCTGCAGTTACGGCAGTTATGACATCAACGCCTTCAAAAAATGTCATTAAAGTGTCTCCCAAACAGGCTCCAGTTCTCTCTAAACTGTATAATAACATCCTCGCTTCCTTCAGCTTCACTGTCGTCCTGGGTACGCTGATAAACAATATCCGCGTCTTGGGTAAGACGATATATATATGTATGTGTGTGTGAGTGTGTGTGTGCGTATATATGTATATATATATCTGTATATGTATATGTATATATATATATGTATATATATGTATATGTATATATATGTATATATATGTATATATATATATATATATGTATATATACATATGTGTATATAGATATGTATATATATATATATATGTATATATATATATGTGTGTATATATGTGGATATATATATATATATATATATAGAGAGAGAGAGAGAGAGAGAAGGAGAGAGAGAAGAGAGATTATTGTTACTCCGACGAGAGAATAGTTTATATTTTAAAGAGAGAAGTAGCACCAAATGTCTTTGATTTTGATTATAATATATATATATATATATATATATATATATATATATATATATATATATATATATATTCTTCATATTTCGCTACACTACTTTCGTGACTTGCTAACTTCCACAAGTGAAAAATGGTTAGTTCTACATATTATTTAAAGGAATGAATTTTTTCTTCCGATGTAAAATATTTTAGCCATTGTCTTTTGTGTGCATTAGTCCTCATCTGGATCCATCTTGGACTGGCAAAAAAGAAATTCTTCTGTTGGATGAGTAATAAACAATTAAATTTGCTCAAAAAAATGGAGAGATATATATATATATATATATATATATATATATATATATATATATATATATATATATATATATACTGTCAGAAAAACACACATAATACACAAGAAAATCTCCAAAAGATACAGGGACATAAAGAGATAGGGACAAAAACATTCCCATTTCTTTCCTTTTTTTTAACCAAATTCAATTATTTTATATATATATATATATATATATATATATATATATATATATATATATATATATATATATAGCATTATTATAAGGATACCAATATTGTATGAATATAAACTTTGTATGTTGTGTAGGGTTCGTGTGTGTGTGTGTGTGTGTGTTGTGTGGTACGTCTACTGTGTTTGCTTTTACCCGTATGTGTGTATATATATTTGTTCACTATACACACATACACACACGAACGCACGCACACACACACACACACACACACACATATATATATATATATATATATATATATATATATATATATATATAGATAGATAGATAGATATTGACAATATTAGTGGTCAATATATATATATATATATATATATATATATATAAATTTCCAAGAGGATATAATTCAGGTAGATCTCAATGCCCAATACAGAGGAAGAA